CTTATCTATCTTATCTATCTAACATAGAATTACGTATTTCAACTAAATTCCTTCCTACCTACTTATCTACCTTCCCCCCTCTCTCTTTTCTTCCTCCCCCTCCCTCCCTCTCATCTTCCTCCCTTCCCTTCCCTTCATTATCCATCCTTCCTCCCTTCCTTTCTGGAGTTCAAGCAGGAATTCCTAGTGCTGCCTCCTTCCACTCCCCCCCTTCACAACAATCCTGTAAGGTAAACGTGGCTGAGAAATAGCAACTGGCCCATATCACCCCAGGGAGGTCCATGGCTGAGGGAGCACTAGGACTTGAGTCTGTCTGCTTCTACTCCAACACCACGTTGGGTTTAAGAATGAGTGCCTTTGCACGGCTTCTCCAAGGGGCAGAAGTCTAAGGCCTTAAGGTCTGGGACCTTCCCCATCTCTGTTTGGAGTCCTAACCGTTTAGTCTTCCACACCAACAGGCTATATTCTTTCCCTGTCCCTACGTATTTCTTCTCCCCCAGCTGAACACTTTTATTTTCTTTACCCTCGCTTTCCAACTTTCCACCTCTGATTATGATTATGATTATGATTATTTTTGCTCTTCCCCATTGGAACATTTCTGAATATTTTTTTTTTATGTTACTGCAACTCAGACCAAAGCTGAATATGGTAAGGGGACATTAATGGCGCTCTCTAGTAGGAACTGAACTAGGTTTCTAGCCTTAAAGCATGGTAATTCCACACCTTCATCCACCAGAGACATTTGGCATTACCCAGAATTGGATCTTGGAGGTTGCAATGACTCTTCTGGCTGGGGATGATGAGGATTGTAGTCCAAAAGGGAGGACACTGGGTTTTTGAAAGCTGGGCTAGCCTACGCAGGGTAGCTAGGATTGTGGTCTAGTCTAACGACATGTAAGTCAGTTTCAAAGGTTCAGCTGCATTTTTTTCTGTTCACTTCCTGGTTTGCAGTTTGGTTGGTACATATGCCATCCTGTAAGGGAGGGAGCAAATTTCTGTAGTCTGGTGATATTGGTGGCAAATTTGGGTGACTTATTATTACCCCCCCCCCTTTTCTGGTCTCCTGGATCTTAATTTAATGACTTCTACAACTCCTTTTTCTTTTTGTCGTAGAAGTGGGCTTAGGAGGAGACATGCTATAAATAGGAAATGAGATTAGCAGTGCCTAATTGGGAAAGTTTTCTCGAGGCTGCAGGCAGAATTGCTTCCTAATCATCTTTTCTTCTGATGCCAAATGCTCTTCTCCCTCTGAGCTCTCCTTGCGTGTCAGGACATGCATGGGTGAAATCTGGCCTCATCGGATGCTGCCGCGCTGAGACCCTTCTGGCGCACTCTCTGTATTGTGGATTTTATCCCTCCCGTCTGCAGTTATCTCTGGTGACGTCTGGTGCCCAACCGTGGCCCTTGGGTGGATGACGGCTGAATTTTAATTGGCCGCAGAGTGCAGTCAAAACTTGTGGACCTGTTAATTGGAGGAAAAAGACAGACTAAATGGTGCGTACAAGGTCTGGAGCAAAAAGCCAGTGAAACAGATAGGAGTTGAGAAGGATGGACAAGGTAAACCGTCTGCTTCAGTGTTTTTCAAACTTGGCGACTTTAAGACGTATGGACTTCAACTCCCAGAATTCCCCAGCCAGCATGCCAATTCCCCAGCCAGTTGCC